GATGAGATGCTCTGAATCTTTCAAAAAGAGAGAGCATTTGTGAGAAGGGTAATTGGAGGGGCAGTGAATTCACTGTAACTCAGTTTCAGATCACGTTTCTTGCCGGAAAGTCGATCTTGGCATCACCAACAGCACCAACAGGAATCCCAACCAAAAAACCACTCAGACCAGGACAGGTAGAAATGTGGACATATTTAGGGAGTCTACGGAGTCGGTCGTTGTTCAAAGGGAGGACACTGAAAAAGTCCTTAGTTTTCTGCGCTCCCTTTTTTACACTGATGAACAAAAACCCATACACAGACGTGTTTAAGGAAATAAAGGCGTTAGAACCAAAGTATGGTTGATTCGGAACGCTTCGACGGAAAGCAAATTATATGATTGGAAGCTAAAACCAAACAAAATTTGCTATGAGTCCCAGTTATAGCTTTTCTCTTTTCCTCTGAATGCCATAGTATTACGAGTACTTGTTCTTTTTTATACAACCTATGTTTGCTATGTCAGGGCCACAATGCTGTGACCTCGTCCGCATCGTCTTCGCACATAATTTAGATAAAATTTGAACAAAAGCAAGGTTACAAAAACAAAATCTTCTAGACGTACTTTTAACTCAAACCACTTAACAACACAAACACAACAACGAAAGTAGATAGTAAAGCCAATACGACTCTAACAATCATATGATCCTGGTGCGATCGGCGCCGATGCAGCAGGTTTATGGGATCGATCAAGAACTCGCTCCCCAAGCTTGCCCCTCACACCGCACCCTCAGGAACGACATTGTGAATAACATGCACCATTAATATAATAAATCACATCGCAAGAATAGAAATCGAGTCAAGAACAAAAAGAAAAAAAAACGAAAAATAAAACAGAGCCACGACTAGACTGTGAAAGTAAAATTCGAGTTATAGAATCAAAATGGTTATAAAAATAATCACAATAACTGATAGTAACAGTTCTGCAACCCGTCTAAGGAAAGAAAACATGCAAACACTAGAAAAGGTCTCTCTACTGATCTAAATGCATCATCGGTGACAAAGTGGTGATGTAAAAAGGTATTCTGCCTGCAACTTACGTCCTTTCCAGCCTCGCTTTAACGCCATCAGCTGTTCTTCCGAAGGCAAAAGGCACTGAACAGGAACTTGGAACCGCTGATATCGATGAAAGTTCAAAGGAATAGAGCGTGCGCAGCAACCATACCTAAATAAAAAATAAGTTAGTAAAAGGCTTAACAAGATGAAGGCGTGGTTCGATATGATCACACAATTTCTAGGATATGACTAATTTGGAAAATTTCAATTATTATTCGTGGAGGTGAAGTGTGTATCATCAATTAGGTGTTATTCGTAGGGTAAAACTTTCAATCTTGCAAAAGACTCGAACCTTTCATCACATCCACACCATCACGCACCCTCTGTGTAGCAGACACCCCACATCGCGACGAAAACAGTGACTGACAAAACAAACCGAATCAAAGCACTCGTCATCGGATCAGGCTCTCAGCTCAATAGCTCAAAGTTATTACTGGACAAATAGCTAAGAACTTTTACGTTTAGTAATAATGGGCTATTGTGATTACATCACTGACAGATTTCTTTTTTGGCGAATCCCCCGCTTTAGACGTTTTCGGATTTTGGGCCCGCACTAGGTGAGAAGTAGGTAGAAAATAGCGTTTAAGGACAGCAAATTACGAAGGCTATTGTCAGGAAGAGATTATCCCCTTCACTGCATTGGCTACTCCCATTGTTGCTTCAGAGGTGTGCAAGGTGTCTTAAAAAACGCACTAACACTTGGAACGACTACAAAAGTCATACTTATGAACATGAAGACTCGTTTCGAGTTGCGGAAAGTAAATGTAAGGAACGAATCATGTTTGGCTTTCAGATAAAGCCGATACCGCTAAAAGTGTCATTGATGTCACGCAAAAGTTCAATTAGAGTATCGATATAAACGGCGACATATCAGTTGAGCTTTGAGAAGAGAGCCCTGAAGTGGCATTAGAAGACTGGAAACGTCTTGAAATAGGGAAGACTATTCGGAAAAGAAATCGACAGACCGCCACTAGTGCATTGGACAACGCAAGTTTGCAACTCCATGATGCGCGTTATCGGCATTGCCCGGACAATGAGGGGCATCAGTTTGAACATTTGCGTTTGGATGTTTTCATAGATTCTCTGGTTCGTTCAAACCTCCCAAGATGTCCTCACAGTCTTAAGGAATAATAAGTTCTATGGTCATACCAATCGCTATTACAGCATTTATGCATGCATGCTTGAAACGATTATTATCCCGCACATCGGCTTTCGCAAAAACAGCTCGCATCCGAATGAAAGTGAGCACCATCGGAAACATTTGAGAGAACTAAGAGGGGAAGGTGCAGATGACAGAAAAAACTGTCGGTTAAAAACTGTTCCCGTTCACAATCAACTTTGATATGAGCGAGAGGTGTTTTAGCTCCTTTTATTTTGTGCCGAAATATTCTACCGAGAGTCAGCACTCGGTCAGAATCAATACTTGGAAGACCATACATCCATGCAAGAAGCTCATCAAATCTTCTTCTGAATTAAATCTGGCAGTTTCACCGGAGTTAAGGAGAAATATTGATGCTGTTCAAGTTTCGGGTAGCACCACCGAATCTATGAAACGGCATGGTTCTAAAGGTTCCATTGTGGAGAATAGGGCTCAGAAATGGAAAAAAGATGACGTCCTCCCTTCCTAAACAGACGATCGCCTGCTGGAAGCAATCATCAGTTGTCCAACAGATGGAAAAATTGGAATGGTGAAAAAGTTGGGAAGATGGGGCACGTACTGAGCGAGAGTCCGAGAAGCCGTCGCTCAGGTATCTGCACAACGCTTCTGTTACGCCACAAAAACGATCAACCTCTTAATATTATTACCACGATAATATGGGGATCCCTTTTGGGGGATCCCTTTTGACAAGAATAAGCGTCCTGCTCAATGTACGAACAGAGATCAGGCTTCCTGATTTTTCTTGAAGTCGAAGACGCATCCACAGCGAACCACGGCGGTAGGTGCTACATGCGTAACCCACTACAGCTTCTCTTAAAGGCACAATAATTTTGACATTCACGATAATTTTGGGTAATCCAGATTATGTTGAAAATGGAAGACAAGATCGAAACTAGTACGACTGAGGTGAAGAAACAGCGTGTATCGGTGTTTCCAAAGTGAAAAAAGGCTTCAAAAAGCCGTTAAAAAGGGGGCTGGACGAGAATGAAACCAGAAAAATGAAGAAGAGTGAGGCGTCCGGACGAGCTAACCAGTGTGTTTCACTGCGCGCGTGTGGGTCCTGGTGCGAATAACACACAATGGTAAGCAAAAATTCATTCACTTACAAGCATAAATGACCAAAAAAAANCATCGCCTCTTCACTCGGCGATTAGCTGATTGTGCGTGGGTCCTAGACCGAATACAGCAATCTGTATTGTCTCGACACTCGTCTAACGTGACACCGATCGAAGGGCGGGAAAGCGAACTACGGCAGCAACGGGGCTTCCACTATGCCCTAAGCGCCGAGATTGCGGGAGCGAGGGGGTCCCTTCTACCACCCATATAGGGCGCTGAGTATCCCCAAAAAAAAGGACTCAGTAACCTTCTTTATCATGTACCGGGCCTTTAAAACCTGTCACACCGTTACCGCTGAAAAAACTACATGGAACCAAAATGCACCAAAAATTAAAACTTCTTCTGCCAGTGTTAGGGAACAGCAAAAACTCGACTGAATAAATGATGCCACAATGCTAAATGCCCAACCACACGTTTGAAAGACGACGCCATCCAGGTCGAAGAAGTTTTGCTACGAGACTCCGCCTTATTCACCAGAATCACCAAACTTTTCCACATTCAACTGCTTCCTCGACATCTAAACAACCACCTGAAAAATAAAGTCTTCCAAAACGCAGGTGATCCCGAAAACGATTCTGGGAGTTCGTGAACTTCAGAAGCCAGAAATTTCAGGCAACCATAATAAGTCAACTTGAGCCTCACTTGCGAAGCTGCATGAACGGCAGGGGTCCTATTCCAATTGATAAAGTTGANTGAAGTTGATTATGAGCCGAGTTATGGCATTCAAAACGAGGTCTTCTTTTTCATACTTTCACATCAACCTGGTAGCATCCAATGGCAATAAGTTCATCCAATATGCCACAGAAAAACGACGTTCGAAGTTTGTTCTTAACAAGAAGGTCACTGCCGCACATTTGAGGAACCAATTGTCTGGTGAGCTGGAAGAGACGTACAATTCTACGGTGACTGTCGGAGCATCGCGGTTACCGACAGAATCCATAAGCTGCCAAAGGAACATCGTAATCCAGGCCATATTTCTTCATATAATGCGGCTTACTTGCTTCGTATCATTCAAATGAGAGATGTGAAGAGATCATTGGCAAGGACTGAGTGGACATTTCACCAATTGTACGGGAGTCGGTGATCAAGAAGAAGATAGGTGTCACATGTGAAACACCCCTTGAGAGAGGCCTTGTCAATCAAGTTGACAATACATACCACTCATTGTCAAATGGGAGGTGGTCAAAAAAAGACAGGAATTTGCTCTTTATTCAGCACCATAGTGAAAACTTTCTACACCTATCCTTCCTCTTTCTGAAGATTGACTATAACGAAACTCCCACGGCCCGCAGTTCTATCCATGTCTTCCCCAGAATCTGTACTGAACGGTTTATTAGCCTCTACGAGATCACCTATTTAGACACAGCTGCTTTTGAGCTCTAAAGAGCACCACTTTCTTCCAGTTTTCATTATAATCCTAGGCATGATCCTACGACTAGTTTGCGCTCTTAAAGAATAGTGGGCAATTACAGAATTCGAATATGATCCTAACCCTTTAGTAAGGGCACACATTCTGGTACCAAAAACTGACCTGAGCGACTAACCGTTTCACACCTATGCCGAAGATCTGAACTTACCTGTACATAAAAAAGACGCCATGGTAAATGCTGATGTTGAATCAAACTGGCGCATCACTATCGACGTTGTGCTTCTACACGAGCACCGAAATACTCTCCCATCTGGTCCATTCGTTCAGAAAACCACGCCACAGCACTGCGTACACGTGGATTTTCATAAATGCGGTCTCGTAAATAGTAGATAATCACTGGAACGAAGCTTCTATCATTGAAAATTTCAATATATCTCACTTGTATGAAACCAAGAACTAGAACTGATAACAAAAGAGTAAAGTTGATTATACGGATTGACTCATCTTTTTTCACCTATCTATTGGTATGAAATGTTAAATATAGCAACCCTCAAGAAAATGTATTGGCAAGAGAGAGCCGAAGGAAGTTCTGATCGGTCTGGATATCGATAAGATGATTTAGTGGAATGCTGTCATGTAGAACTACTATCCCCGCCTTGGGTAGTTGATGATTTTGACTTTGATATCCATTGAACTTTTGCTTTCATCAAAACTCATTCGTCACCACCCAGGCAATACTAATTTGTAGCATGCTTGCACAAACCATATATTATACCCTCTATCCCGAACTCAGTCTACTCAACTTGAAATATTTATACTAGCAATATCCGTTTTACGGGAACTTACAGCGTATACACAGATCGCGTATAAATCGTAAGCGGGGAGAGCACTGGGAATCTCAAGACCTTTGAAAGACTTCTCAACGTCAAAGAGTTCGTGAAACTTCACGACAGACAATGAACAATCGTTAAGTGCAGCTAGATTAGAATCAATAATGAAACCATCTAACCTGCATAGACCACCAACAGGGACAAGGTGAGATAGAAGACATCAGGCCGATCATCATACTCAATATGTAGCGGCCCTTCTAAACGCCTTGGAGCACCAAATATCGGTGTCACATCCGTCCAATCGTAAATGAACGACTACAATACAGAAGAATCACTAAATCAGAAAAATAAATTACAGGTATGACGAGCAAAACTAACCATTAGCCCATTATCATTCAACGATCGATCTTCCATTCTGGCTACAGCTGCCCCACTCACCCATAACATGATTGTAGGAGTACCAGAAACACCATAGCGTGTGTTAAGCCTGGAAAAGTTTATATTCAGAATGATTGCACTTGTAACTGCGACCACTGAACATGGAACTCGTTTTCCGCTATGTAAACATAGGCAAACAACAATTTTACCAACTTTGCAAACCCAATCACATCAAAACTTGTTGAAATATTTATATGAAGGCTTCGTCCACAGCAAAAAAAAAGTAACTGATTTCAGAAAAGGTTTATCTGATACTTATAACAATGACTACTTGAATTCGAAATGGCAAGGGTGTGAAAAGCACAGCTCAATTTCAACTCATACGCTCGAAGCATGTTTCCAATTTTGAAACCTCTTCTATCAGATCACCAAAGCACCGTTCAATTGTTACAGTCGAGTCTTGCTTCATTTAGTTCAGGGGAATAGGCAAGCATGCACTTCGCATCAGAGGGCTTATAGCGTTTCCGTAGACTGCACTGGGAATTTTACCATTAATGAAAAATATGTTACATCGAGGCGTTGTTATCCATCTCATGCAAATACTACCATGAACATGATATAATAGCTAGAAAGGCAGCTGAATGTAAAGCAAACATTTGTTGCACGACTGAATATTCAGAACCAGGTGTAAAGCTAATCATTACACCTTTGCACCGATCA